GTTGAACCACGAGTTTTTTCGCATTGGAAGCTATTATTCAGTTGTTTCGGAACTGGTAATGCTTTAATGTTGGACCAATAAGTAGACTAACCACAGTTCGTGAAAGCTGAAATTCCGTAGTCAATCCAAAGATATGAGATTTGTCCCATCAACGAGTTCTCATTTGGAGAAAAAGTTATCTGAAGGCAGAGACGTAAGAGGGTACCTTTTCGGCGGATGAAGCGCGCATGAGGCTCGAAAAATTTCGGGTTAATGCCAATTCGTATGCGTTTACAAATATCTACTGATTTGGGTTGGATAGCAAGAGAAAGAACTTCCCGCGCTGTTGAATGCAGTGCTTCTCGTTGCATCTATGACGAGACCCTGACATAACCTCACATTTCATTGTTGAAATGTTTAAATATCGCAGAATGTAGCAAGATCTAAGCTCGCACTAAATAAGTAGTGACAGGACCAAATTCGAATTTCGATCGAATCTTCAAAAATCTAATTTATCTCCCAATTTACTTCAATCCATCTAAAAGACTCTGTTTGCAATCCAACAATTTAAATGGATGTATATATTTATTTATATGCTTATTTGAATATATGTATATATGTGTATCTATTTAGGCATGTGTGTGTGTATACATTATTTACATACAAATGCAGATAAACGCCTGCCATGTATGACAGCCGCCACCATAGTTGCAGCAAAAGGAAACAGAATTAGCAACAACCACTACAATAATAACAACTACATACCGTATATGCATGCACGTATATACTCGTATATATTATATTTATGTACATCAGTGTACATGCTAAGAAGCAAACGAAGAGCAATGGTGTCGAGTGCACGGAATTCTGTTGAAAATTAATGAAGGCGTTCTACCTGCAATCCATTTAATTTTTATAAACGATCTTGTCTTAATGCCACTGTGCTAGTACGGTCATTATAAATTACAATGCCACAGCATCAGCCTCAGCCTCAGCAGCAATCTTAGCTTCAGACTCAGCCTCAGCTTCAACTACAACTTCAATCGCGTCATCGGCTGTTGTTGTGATGTTGCACGTTGGCCTTTGCTGTTGCTGTTAGCTGCTTTACTTTGGTTGTTGTCACGTCTGCTTGAGTTGTTGCTGTTGTTGTTCAAGTTTTTGCTTTTTTGTTGTTGCGTTGAGTAGCAATTCGTATTTGTTAGTTTCGCTGACTGATTCGCCCGTTCCCTTTGCTGAGTTTCTCGTCGGTTATATTTTTACATATGTACATACATATTATATATGTATTTCTGTATGTGTGTTTTTTTATGGTTGTAGTTGCATTAATGAAACGCTGCCAGGATCAACCTATTCTAAAATATCGCACTTTGGAATAAATGAGCAGTCCCAAGTAGCTCTGTTTCTATATATATTTTATATATAAAATATATATATATATATTTACATGGGCATTACCAATTAATTTAAAAAAGAAAAGCAGGGCCGACCAGCAGATAATTTCTCTAGCTAAGACTTTTTTCCTGATTATTTTTCCTTTGTTGATGATGAAAACCGATCGAATTTTTAAGAAAGTTGCGTTGTTTGATTCCTACAAAATTCAAAAAAATGTCCAGTAAGAAATCGATCTTCTGGGGAACGTGTTGTCATTGGAACTTGTTGTCAGACTAGCGCTTGTTTACAGATTGAAGCCCACACGCAACCACACTTCTGGTGAACAGATGTTGCAATAAAGGTACATAGGTGTGACCCCTTACAACGAATACTTCGGAGCTTTCACTATGTAGCCTTGATCCAAAGCTTGACGCGGGTTGGCTGCAGCATCTAGTTCCAAAGTTGATAAGGTTTCCAGAGAGCGCGAAGAGTATCCTTTGGGAATTTAAGCTTAATACCCGGTAGGCCTATACCCATCGAACTTTTTGTTCTAGTCGCGGCGTATATCTTAGCCAATGTAATGATGAGCTGTATGAGTTATACGACAACGTGGTTTGATATATCATGTTGAACATATGGACGAAAACATTTCGTTTCATTGGGCAGTCTCCAGGATATGTATCTAACAAAGAGAAGACTTCTAGATTTAACCTACCAAACTGACGAAACAGAATAATAGATAAAAGAGTTCTCCTTCAGTGGTAGAGCCTAGGCTCAAAATGTCGGAAGATATTTTCTTTCTACTCAACCAATTTCAGTAAGATTTCCTATTTAGGGGTTCCGCACTCTTCAACTTAAAATTAAGTCTTCCGTATGTAGAAGATCATATTATGTACGAGTTTCTATGTAAAGTTGGACAAAATTACTTCAGTGTTAAAGGTATTCTAAACAGTACACACAGGTGGAAGCAAAGGAAGATTGAGATCTCTACTTCGTTGGCAGGATCTACCTTAATTAGTTTTTTCAATTGGCACCAATTGACGCGGAAAACGAAGATTTGGCAATAATCATGTTAGCGGTGCCTACATCTTTAAGACTAAGGTCTATCATATCTCTGTGGCGACAGTGTCGAGCCCTTAATGGCAAATAACCTTCATTTTTAACTGAATCACGATTATGGTTCGGTTGAGTTCTAGGCTACCCGAGTGTGAGTCGTATCTGCATTAAAATGGTTTGATAGTTGACTCGGTTGAAGTATCGGTAGACGGAGTGTAATCAATATCCACATAACTGATTAGCCATAATAGCGGAATGGTTAGTGGTTAGAGTATTTCAGTGTTTGAGTCCTGAACCGAACTGTAGGTCCTTTATTTGTTGAAGAAGCAAGAATACAAGTAAAAAGAGGAGCTTTGTTTTCAAAAGCAAGGAAGCATAATTTTCGATCACTATTACAGCGTCAATCACTATAGGTTTATTTACGGTATTAAATCGCTAGATCTTGGAAGTCACAAGCGCACGAGGCGAGATATTGTTCTAATCAAAAGTTTCCTCTAATAAATTGATTATCTCGTTGGCTGTGTGTATTGGAATCAAAGGTCGAACATCCTCTAATTTCGGTATAAAAGTGTCAATATCCATGGCTCTGTAGCATTATGAACAAATGATTCCCAATACCAAGATCTTTTCGCTAAAGTTTTCCAAAAAGCGAATGGGTAGTGCTTCAATTGTGTTTCGGGTCTCCTTGTATACTCTACTCCATAGCAGCAAAAACGTCTTCTGTGCGATCTATGTGGCATTTCTAAGGACTGGCATTGCCCACTAGAGTAAACATAGTGCGTAACTTATCCATACTTGCCAGAATACCGACTCTTCCCGGCAATTTTTGTATATCGACTGAACCATTTTTTTGTATTAAATTTTTGCACCATTTCCAAACATTTTCCGGAGTAAATCTGATAATTAAAGCCAGATTTCACAAAAAAAAAACGTGCCTTTTCTAAACAAAAATTTAATTAAAAAAAAAAAAAATTGCAAAATATAAAAATTCTAATTAAAATTTTATTAATTTCTCAAAAAACAATTAATCGAGCGCACGGATTTAACGCTTGGCGCGCTCCGCTCTCTCCGCTTTTTCCACTTCTATACTTACTCCTTGGTCTTACGGACCTTCGGGGCTAACTCTAGATTGTTGCCTAGAGTATTTTCTAGCAATTTTTACGAAAAAAATTTAGATTTTTTCAAAATTTTTTAGAGTAACCTGACTCTGAGGAATGGTCTACCCAAATGAGTATAACTCAAGTAAAAACTGAACTCCTCAGAAAGTATGGGCCTTATTATAAAACTACGCTCCTAAAATATGAAAGAGAATGTGAATGTTGAAAATTGGAAAAAGGTGAGTTTTTTTTCTTATGGAAATTTTGCCAATCCCTAGGCTGAATGGCTGAACACAAGCGTAGCTGTGTGGGGAGAACCTCTACTTGTGACCTTATGAAATTCTGTCTGGTTTTACAGGGCTTAGCTTTAAATTCTCGTTATTCTAGTAATAAAAATTCAACATTTCATAGCACTAAGATTTTATTCTTCTGAATTTCCGGCTACTTTGCTTTTCAAACGAAGCAGAATTATTCTATGCGTTGGCATACACGTATTTATGAGTCTTACTTTGAATTTTATACAGCATAAAAGCCAAAAAAAAAAAAGCATGCACCAATACTTACCATTAATAATTTCAATTTTCCAAAGAGTAAAATAAATACATTTTTTTTTTAATTTAAACATGTTTACAATTTATTATTTTCGTTCGTTTTCGCATTTTTTGCTGCTACTAAATTAATGAATTAAAATAATGACTTATTATAATTTGTTAATTACTAATTGTTAATAGCTAATTTTATACAACAATCGTACAAATATATTTAAAGGTTAACTAAATATGTTTATATATGCAAATTTATTTTAAATTTAAATACTTTAAAGGGGTGAGAAACATCCAAAAATTCACAAAATTTTATTTTATATTTTTTTTTTTAAATCAATTCACAGGTTACACTGTACAAATAGTGGTTACACTTTTTAAAAGAGGAACAAAAAAAAATACTCGAAATAAATAAACATATTTAAATTATATTAGACCAAAATTTTGAAAATATTTTTTGGAATTTATTATTGTTTCGATTTTTCTTGCGCTCTACAGCTTAACTGAAAAAAATTGGTTATTTTAAGGCAATAACAATTTTTGATTTATTTCACTCTTATACACAAACAAATATAACACAGCACATATACTCGTACAATACATACATTTAAGGCACTCAACACTTACACTTACTCACTAATTAGTAAATATTTTTGTTTTTGTACAATGCCCTAAAATTAAATGGAAGTTTTATGTAATATTTCATATATTTTTTAACGGTGTACTTAATTTATAAAATGGAAGCTTTTTTGTGGGTTTGACTTACAACTAGATTTTTCATCAATTAATATTACATAAATAAATATTATTTATATATTTTTGCATTATTTTATCGCATAAACGAATTTAAACTGCTATTCTGCTTTAAATAAATTAGACTAAGCAAATTTAATAATAGACAATTTACATAATTTAATAATTAATTTTGTTAAATGCTTATATTTTATGGCTTTTTGTGTGTTGTTTTTATTTTATTTTTATTTTTTTATATTTCTTTTCTGTAGTTTTGTGCGAACACTACTTCAACTAAGGCAATCTAATTTCTATAAAGAGTCTTTGTTGGCTTTGTAGTCTTTATTTCATAATTTTATTTACATATATAAGTTTCTATGTGACATTTTGTGTAATTCTTTTTTTTCCAGTGTAGTATGATGTCTTTTAAGCAGTACTGTGCCAAAAGCATGCTAATATTGAAAATGCAAAAATGTTGTCTTCATAAAGGCAAGATAACGCTAAATTTTAGCAACGAAAAACTCAGCAGGGGTTTGTTCAAAACACCTTGGAAAAGAGAGTTCACATAATTTTATTAAATTTGAGATTTGAGTTACTAAGATTAAGGCAAGAATTGAATGGTTATCCAAAGAGTAAATATAACGCTCTTCTTGAAGGCACTGAAGAGAGTGTGCTTATATTAAGAGAGAATTCAGAGTGTGTTTTAAGGTTAGACCTTCTGCAAGCACCTACAATACATAATTTTTTTTCTCAATTTTGTTTTGTTTATTAAACTTTAAAGAGAAAGAAAATTGTGCAGTCAGCCGATGTTGATCAAAATATACAATAATTATCCTTCTGGTAAGCATAGATAAGTTACGCACCACGATTACTGTAGTGGGCAATGGGCGTTCTTAGAAACGTCACATAAATCGCCCAGAAGACGGAAGTAATAATATTATATTATAAAACTTTAAATCAGTCTATGCCCAAAATGAAATGTTTTCTCATCTATAAAATTAAGGGAAATACTTTACAGTAGACAATCATGAAAGGCAAATTTTTGGAATAGAGCGCGAAGCATTAATTTGTTTTATACAACTGTAGGAGAGCAAGAGAGATTAAAAAATAACCGCAGCTCAGTGAGTGTTTTTAATAAATGCCTGGAAACACTCTATTCCTCTATGGACCCTCATTGTGGCAAATTTTCTGGTTTACTGTTTTTTCTAATAAATGAAAAGCTGGATTTGAAATTTCCGAGAATCTTATTGGCTCAAAGCGTAAATATTTAACACCAGACTAATCTTGATTCAAGGGTAAAACGAACTTGAGTGAATGGGAATGGAATGAATAGAGTTTACTTGATACGGCTGCTGGTCTTCACCTTCTCAAATGTTCAATCAATTTCATGTGCCTTATAAAAGCAACGAGATTTCCCTATGAACTTGTGTCGCGCAGGTGTCAAGACTGAACACTGACAGAGGCGGCGTTGAATAGACTCCTTCTGTTCTTCATTCCTACAGCTACAGCAAAAGTAATTAAAGTGGTAGCCGATTCTATGTATTATTTACAGTCCCATTAAAAAAAGACCTGTTATTATAAAAGAGAAGCGATCTAAAGGGATAAGATGTTTTGATTTGTTCGCGTCCAAACTTAGACGGTACAGCCAATAAAACTGTGTCCACTGAAAGAAGGTGTAGCGAACTTGCCACAATTATCAGACATCCAAATCCAGAAGGTGCTTTGCAAGGTAACTGCAGAAGATAAATATTCCGAAAACGAAATTTTTAGAACGACTCGCAGAATAAGTCGGTAATGTGTACCGCACGCATCCAGCTGTGTCTACCAGAGTTGCATTGCAATGAAGTGGAGCAAGCCACAGCTCCTGCAAATGTCACCAACCAAAGGTGTTGGCAAAAGAAAAAGACATTTGCCAAATTTTATACATAAACCGAAATTGTCAAATGACATTTACTTCAACGTTAAACTGTCGTCGTCGTTGTAATACTTTAAGCAATAGCAATTTAGCGTTGACGTGACAACGACATCAAGGTTGACGGCACCAACGGCAACAAGGAGCAATATTCTCGAGACATCCCATCCTAAAAACTTCCTTCATTTGTGGTCGTTGAGCTCTATCACTCTCTCTCTCTCTGCTACGAGCAATCGCGAATAACTGTATTGCCCGAGTAACTTGTGTATCGAACAGAGAGCAATTTTCGATAACAACGAACCATTTTCGTAAAATTATATTTCGGAGAGTTTGAATTTCAATTTGTGATTAATTTAAAAATTTGTTTTTCGTCCGAACTGTTGATCTTCTCACTTATTAGGCATAAAACTTAAAAAGTTCCACAACTTTTAATATAGTGGTGAGTATTTGTGTATAAATGGTGAATATTTTGGGTTCTTCTTGGTAAGGGATGTGTTTGTATGAGTATTTTTTCCGTATTAAAATAATCTGTTTTTTAAAAAATGCGTGTCGAATTTTCTGTTGTTGTGGTATTTGTGGTGGGAATATATGTACGTCTATGCATATGTGGCGATGAATGGGTGAGTGTGAACTTAAAAACTAACGGCAATTTTGTAAGCACACGTGCACACATCTTACAATTCGAATTGTAACAGTAACTAACTATACTCCTATAATATTAACTGTACAAATTGTTTAAATATAATTAAAATTACGCTTTAGTTAAGGCTAAAATGCTTAATGCCACAGCCGAGAGTGGTGAGTGCGGCATAATTTTGAATATCTGCCCAATGCAACAACAATATAAATATATATATACTATTTTGGTATATACCGTTACCCACCAAACTCCAAAGTACTCTTTGTTTACCTAATTTTCTCTTCATTGCTCGCTGTCGCTGTTTCTAATTCTTTTTTGTTCCTTTAAAACGGAAACGGTATTGGCACTATGCCTACATACACGTACATATGTTGATATATGTTATACTACATACACTTACACTTTCATAAATACACTTACAAAAATATTGTATCTATGATAGACCAGCCTACAAAACTAATGATCACTTTGTTGGTTGTCAAAATCTCCTCTTTTTCTTTATCTCTATTTTTCTCTCTCTTTCTCTTTCTACCTCGCCCTCTCTTTAAGCGTTCAACGGTCTTGCTGCACTCTCTTTCATCACATTCGCACACCACGCATTTCCTGCTCCACGAGCATAGCATTTTTCCCCCGCTGTGTTGGCTGTGGCGCATGCCGTGGCAGCGATACTAGATGATGTCCAGTCGTCACACCACCGAGCGGTGATATCGAGGGAGATCGTGTTGCGAGCGGTGAGAGCGAAGGCGAGAAGGATGGCGACATTGCAGTCGATGTGCTGAAACCACCTGGCGTATCATGACTGATGGGTGAACGTGGTGCCATGTACTGACCGCTGGCATTCACTTGACCGCCTGTGGTCGGCCCACCACCTAGGGCTGTTGTGGCAATATGATGTTGAGCGTTTTGCGGCAGACGTACGCCCACGCCAGCGCCGGATAATACTGCCATATTGATTGCGCGTGGCGCAACGTTCGTCAACAGTGGTGGCGGTATATGCGTTTTTACGGTACCGATGGAATGCGCTTGCGACTGTTTACTCTTAGCGCTCGACGAGGCGCCACTATTACCACTATGCACAGACATATTGTCGTCTTTGAGACGTGCGATTTCGGAGAACACATGCGCCAGTGGCTGGTACTGTGGACCCCAGTCGAGGAGGTAGTCCCAGTTGTAGCTGCCAGTGAGCTCTTCTTCGCTGTGCACAATGGAGCTTAGTGAACCGTTCATGGGTGGTCCCACATTGGCTGGATGCCCGACGTTCGGCACATGACCGACAGGCACATTAGTGAAGTTTATCACACGGTCGACTGTTACACCTGCACCACCAGCCGTTGTGGCTGCTTCGTCTGTGCTGCTGGCCCGATCGGAAGAAGCACCAGCAACGTCGTTTAATTTGGCATAGATAAGGTTGGTAATGTCTGTTTGTGCGGCGGGATCCTCGTCGTACATGTGCATTTGTAGCGGATGATGGAGGTGTGTGTCCTTTTGAGAGCCAACCATGCCCTCCGAACAGCGATGCGAGGAATTTGATGTTGCCACTGTAGCATTCGCTTCACGATCCACAATGCCCAAGCGTGCCAGGTATTCCTGGGTATTCTGCACGGAGATGTCAGAAATACGTCCGTCTTCACCATTCACGCCGCCAGCGCCATTCCGATGATGCAAAGGTCCTTCGTTGATCATGCGTATTTCTTCGTCTTCGCCATCGTCCTCTGCTGAGCCGCGGCCGCTAGACCCAGATTGCTCGGAGCCGGAGAGTTCAGATGTTGTCGCTGCGCCAGAATTGGAGCTTGCCGCGTGCGCACCGTAAGGCGGTATTTCATCATATTTGGGTGGCGCGAATTGTCCAGCGGCAGATGCCGTTACGCCACCGCTACTACTACTACCGGCCATTGCAGCACTTACGCCACCTCTTATGGGTATCGTGTCGAAGGCACTCGGATCGACGTAACTATTCGAAGCACCAACCGTCTCTGTACTTAAGTGTGGTTTTGTAACATTACGAGGTTTTCGGCTGCGCATTCGCACGAACAGAAAAATTCCAGCAACTGCGCATAGTACCAACAGCACTGCGACAATCAGGCCCACTAACCAATCAGCAACGCCGCTACCACCGCTAGATGCGCCGCCACTACTCGCCAAGTTCGTTCCCAAGCTGGCTAGTGGATCCAGCGAAATCTCTACAACTGTCATGTTGGTTAGCGAACCTTGCCTGCCAGAGCTCGCTGCAATCACTAAGCTGATATCACGTCCGTCATCGAAATTGTCGTCGACTTTCTTTTTGATCACTACCGCGCCAGTCGTGCGGTTCACCTTAAAGTAGGCATGCTGAGAACTTAATTGGTAAACAATACGTCCATCTGGGCCGTTATCGCGATCCGTTGCCGTCACTTGGCCCACAACATAGCCCAGCGGCAGGTAGCCCGTTGACGGCGATGGCATCACAAAGCGATAGGTGCGCTCCGTGAATTGTGGCGCGAACTCGTCTTTCGATTCAATTTCAATGCGAACTTTAACCCGCGCTGACTTGCCACCACTGTCGGTGGCGCGCAACACAAAGTCGTAACGATGCCGCTGCTCATAGTCGAACACAGCATTCGAGGTGACAATACCGGTATGCGGGTCGATGCGAAACAGCTTCCAGGATACATCATCTAAGCCCACTACAGCCTCATGATCGACAGTGTAGTTGAGACGACCGTAAGCACCGCGATCCAAATCGGTTGCACGCGCTGTAAACACGCTAGTGCCAACTGGCTCATTCTCACCCACAAACTCGACATACTCGTCGACAGGAAAACCGGGCACGTTATCATTTTCATCGCGCAAAGTCAAACGGAATGGTTGCAAGCTGCATAGCGGCTCCGTCGCACTGTCACAGGCGCGTATCACCAACGCGTAGCACATTTCGCCAGTGTCAAAGTCTAATTTGTTGTTCACGAACAACACACCGGACACGAGGTCGATGGTGAACATACCTTCGTCATTACCCGACGTTATATCGTACACCACCTCCGAGTTGGGCGTATTCTCTAGGTCAGCATCGGTTGCGACGAGTTTGGCAATGGCATGGCGCAGCGGCGCAAGCTCACTTACCTCAGCTTCGTACTTGCCATCACTAGAGAACAACGGTACATTGTCATTTGCATCCTCCACGGTGACAAATACATTGATTGCGGTACTCGAATTGTCGGCTGCCTGTGCCAATAGCTGCTGCGACGAGGCATGCGCTTCGCCCACTACCAAGCGCAGCTTGTAGATGTCTGTGCGCTCACGATCCAAGGGCTTCACCAATATTATAGCGCGCGATTGATACACTTCGAAGGCACCGTCCTCATTACCTGAAATTATTTTGAACAGCAACGTGCCAGCAGCGCGTTCTGCCTGTGCATTCAGCACATCCTGACTGAGACGCAGTACAACGGTGCCGAGTGGCGCGGCTTCATTGATTTGAGCGCGATATTGCGTTTGTAAAAATTGTACGCGCCCGCTATTGCCTTTGCTGGCACGCACACGTAAAACAGTCGAACTTTTCAGCGGCATGACACCGCCATCTTGCGCGGTTATCATTACGTAAAGATCGTCGGCAACTCCGCCAAGGCGTGTCATATTCACGGACACTGCACCGGACTGCTCGTTGATGCTAAACCCGCGCAATGGCGGATCTATGCTGTAATGTATCTCCGAGTTGCGACCTTCAGCATCGGCGTCTGTGGCATTGACCGTGACCAACTCTATATCCGTGGAGGCAGCGGCGCTCGAACTAATCACTTGTTGATCGGGCAGCGTGGCGGCATAAGCGGGCGGAAGTTGTGCATCGAAAATGGGCACGTTGTCATTTTCGTCCGTTACACGTACCGTTAGCGTAGTGCGCACCTCGTGTGCCGTATCGGAGGCAATGATTTCCAGCTGGTGCTCCTGCTGATCCTCATAGTCCAGTTGCCGCTTGAGTGTGACCTTGCCGCTGTAGCGATCGAGTGCAAAGAGCGGTTTCTGCATGAGTTGTTGAGTGTCCGGGAGTTCGTTGCCGAAACGGTAGGTCAGTGGCGGATGTGTATCCACGTCATTGGCCGAAACAGTGGTGATGACTGTACCCAGCTCTGTGCCTGCATTGGTGGGAAGATAAGAAAAGAGTATGGGAAGAGGGAAATGCGTTAAAAATAATGGTTGGCGGCAAATTGCAAATTGCAAGACTTGTAATTTCTAACATAAACCTCGACGTCTAGAATAAAGGGCGCGTTGCGATTGACAGCAGTGTGGGCCGCGGTCTGGCTATAAGTGGCAAGCTAGGCAGCCCCATCGGATTAATTTAGAAAATGTTTAAAATGGTTGCAGTTCAATTAAGAACATGCGCTCATTTATTGCGACCACAACACGTCAGATTTAACCGACGCGTCTCCGACCGACGGGTCCCCAGTGACCGTGCATCAAATTAAAATTCCATAACTCTGCGCGTTGCACACCTTCATTGTCTTGCAAAACTAGTAGACTCATAGTAAATAATAGACACACACATATATTTGTCGCACTTGCACTGCTACTCACCTTCGCTCACTCTAATCACACTGTGCGGCGGAAAAGTCGGTTGATTGTCGTTGACATCCACAATATGTACACGTATCGTTGCCGTGCCCGTCATTTGTGGTACCCCCTCGTCCGTGGCGATCACCTTCAACTTGTACATGTCACGGATTTCGCGATCCAACACGATATTCGTCTTTACAATGCCACTAAAGGCGGGCTCAATGACGAACGCATTATCGTGATTGCCATCGACGATGTGATAGAGAATGCGCGCATTTGCGCCCGCATCCGCATCGAAAGCCTGCACCTGCACCACAAACGTACCCTTGTTGTTGCCCTCCCACACTGTGGTCGCGTATTGCGATTGCGTAAAGTGTGGACTGTTGTCGTTCTCATCTTCCAGCTCGATGATTAACTCCGCGTAGGCATAAAGGTGAGGTGTGGCATCAGTGCGTGCGACGAGAACTAGACGCAGCTCATGGGGCTGCATTGTGGTGGCGGAATATTGCATATTTTCATTGCCGTTGGTTGTTTGTAGTTCACGTTGATTGCGGCGCGACTGTAGATTTTCTGGTATTTGTTGCTCTGTGGCCGTGCTACTGACGGTTACATTCTCCAAGGCAAACTCCTCAGCGACATCTTCATAGTACATAGCACGTCCACGATATGCACCACCTGCTGTCATGGTTGCATCGGCGGTTGTACCGAAATATCGCTCGTAATCCAGATACGCTACATTGCCGACTTTTATCTCGCCGGTGGTGGCGTCTATGATGAATGCGCCGTCCTCATTACCAGCACCGATGGTATAGTAAATCTGTTGCCGTCTTCCATCGCTACGTACCGCTGACACATGCAGCACGCTCGTACCTGTCGACGTATTTTCACGCAATCTCAAGCGGTAGGTGTCGTTTTGAAAACGCAGCACTGGCGCACCAGCTGCAACATCACCTACGCGCAACTCTATAAGACCGAGTGCAGTGGCCGCTGGGTTGCCTTTGTCGCGTGCCACCACTTCGATATGCAGCAGGCGACCCGATTCGCTGGCCAGACTCTGTGTGGCACTCACTACGCCAGTGTTGGGATTTATGCGGAATTTATTGCGTGTCGCGGCATCGGCATTGTTGCCCAGTGAGTAGAGTATTTCACCGTTAAGACCAGCATCAATATCGGTGGCGCTAACTTGCAACAACATTTGCCCGGGTTGTATGAGTGCGGGCACTTGAGCGCGGAAGGGGTAACGTTCGAATACTGGACGATTGTCATTCACATCATCGACGATAATTTGTACGGGGACCTCTGCCGAACGCGCACTGTAGCGACCGCCATCTGTGGCGACGACCAGAAAGTTGTAAACACTTTGGCGCTCACGATCAAGAGGGCTGAAAGAAGAGGGAGAAAGAGAAAGAGAGGAGAGAAAATTTATTTTTGGATACTGTTTGAATTTAAAACCAAAATTTAAAATAAAATAAAGTAAAATAAAATAAAATCAAATACAATAAAAGAAAATAAAAGAAAATTAAATAATAAGAAATCTAAAATAAAAAAAAAAATATAATAAAAAAAATAAAATAAAACTAAATTAAATTAAATAAATTTATATAAGAAAAAGCCAAATAAACTAAACTAAAATAAAATAAAATAAAATAAAATAAAATAAAATAAAATAAAATAAAATAAAATAAAATAAAATAAAATAAAATAAAATAAAATAAAATAAAATAAAAAAATTAAGTATTTTTTTCGAATTTATAGACATATAATAAAAAGTTTTCTCATTTTCAATTCGACATCCAAAAAAGAAATACTCGTACACGAAACAAATTCTCTGAAATAAATCCGTCAAACAGCCAACTAGTGTACGTCTTGCGAGGGTCAACAACAATGTCAATTTTCCAACCTTTCCCTCCAATTTCAGCTCCATCAATTCAAATTCACTGCCAATAGCAGATCTCGCAGGGCGCTAGCTTATTGGACATGTTCGAAGAGAATTAGGTGCAACAGTGGACACAGTGGCAGCTGCAACTACAGCAATTGCTGCAAAACAACGGCAGCAACAACATTCACAAAAAATCATCAACAACGAAATCTACGTAATGAAATGTGTCGCATCGCTGATACACATTGCATCCAATCTTTAGTCTTTTCTCACAAGAGCATCCATTCCCTAGCTATTTTCAGCTGCCCTGTTGCTGATGTACTCTCTATAACGTTTTATTTCATTCAATTTTTTCTTGTTTGTTTTTGTAGAAAATGGCAAAAACATCACGAATTGTTTGTTATTCGTCAGTTATTGTATGCGATTCTTTTGTGGCTCGCCACTTTGAGGATAAAAGGTTCATTATAGTCGACAATCAAAGTGTTGGGCGCGCTCAGTCGATAGACGACCGACTGACCGACGGGCAGCGCATGGAAGGCGCAGGCAATTTTGGTATGAAGCGCATGGAAGAGAAAAGCGGCGATAAAAAATTAGTACATGACAGCGGATCGCGTTTGTATAAATGGCATCAGTGACGCGTCATTCTCTGTGCGATGCGTGTACTTTTCGTCTACTACTACCACTACTACACACATACACATACAATTTTTTAAGGGGATACCATAAGTTTTTGTAGTACGAGCTTAAACATAAATGTACTCAAACGCCAATAATATAATTGGAAATTTCTAAAACGCTAACTTTTAAGAAATATGGACGAAAAGGTGAAGAGATCTGGTATCTACAACGATTTGCTAACAAATAACTTCAGTAAGAGACTCCGATCGGTCACACTAAGATCCTGTATGTTTTAATTGTATAGCTTGAAGAGCAATTTTGGGGCAAAGCTTGGCTTGGAAGTTAGTGCACTTGATTTCATAGTAATCAAATTTGAGCAGATCACCCAGAAAACTACTGATTTTGTTCACTTTCCTGGTCTTCAGACGATTTTCGATATGACTGCATGCAGAGATATCAATTTCTTAGTCATCGATGTGGTATTAGGCTTCCTATCTACATAAATCTTTGGAGTTTATGTTATGTTTGCTGAATAGGGGCAACCAACAGATCATATTATTGTAGTTCCTCTTTTTCCTGAATTGACTATCTACAGTGAAGTGGGAGAACGAATGCAAGTGCACTGACTGTCTGTCTGCTGAGATATTATGACTTATTATAGACCACTATCAGACCTATCAGCCAGCTTCCATATCTAGACTGGCCTAAAGTTCAATTTCTCACATAATGCGCTCGCTAAATATTTAATCCACACAGATTGCGGTGTTCCCTTTTTGGGGATTTTTTAATCAGTTTTCAATGTTGTTGTTGTTGCAGCGGTTTGTCAACGCCATTAGTTAGTTTAATTCATCGAGGTCATCGAACGGGAGGTCCTGGAAAGGAGCTATTTCGACGGCTTTGGACGATAGAGAGAGGTGGTAGGGAGCATGCGAAGAGGTGGTTGATGTCATGCAGGGGTGTAAGTACGGACTTTAATCGATGGGCGTGCTTTCGTCCGATCGAGTTCTCAAAAGAAGCTGATGCTCTGTTATTTATCAAACTATAAATTCCTCATAGTCAAGTAATGGGACACCTATAAACACACTATATTCTAGATCACAGTCGCCAGGTCACCTCTTTAAATTCTGCATGAGTAAGTGTTTTGAAGTTTTTCCATCAAAGCGGCGCTTTCAGATTTCTGGTTAGCATGGATTGAGGTCAGCGGTTTGGTTTCCTCACATTTCTTCCACCTTTCCAAGCGACAAGGTCGACTTTCGGAATAAAATCATAAAAACTGATCGGCTTGTCGGAGGTGTTTTAAAACGTTATGCCGCTTTATTTTTATTGAAGAAGAAGCATTAAGACATCATAAAAAGGAGTAGAGGGAAGGGGCGAAATTATGTATGCTAAAGCAATTGTACCTCATTTACATAATGCCTGACGGTTTGCTCGGAATATGGAGTCTAAGGACTTACTCACTTAAAAAATTACTTCTCACAAGAACTAAAAAGAATTTGGTTAATTTAAAAAAAAAAATTCTAAATACTTAATTCAATCATTTATACAATTTTTTATCCACCACTACCATTTTACAGTTTAATCAACCATCTATTTTTAATATTCCATCGATTTATGCATAAATATTTTTTTATTTAAGGAAATTCATTAGAGAAATTGAGCTGAAATTCTTCAAATTAATTAAATATTAATACCAATGACTATAAAGTGTATTTAACCACTCTCAAAAGTTCTCTAAAACACTTACCCCACTGTTGTGATGATGCCCGTCTTGCTGTCAATCGCAAACAGCCATTGTGTCTCATTAGCCAGTGAATAAAGTAAACGCGCATTGATACCCAAATCAGCATCTGTCGCTTTTATGCGCAAAACACTTGCGCCGATCGCCACATTCTCAGCTATATTCGCCACGTATTTTGTTTGTTCAAACTGCGGATCATTGTCATTATTATCCTCGACAATAACCGTGATATTGCAATGGCCCTGGTAAGGGGAGGAGGAGGCGCGATCTTGTGCCTGGATTTGTAACACATAACGAGATTGCTGTTCACGATCGAGACAGCGTGCTGCCAATTCGCCCGTATGCATATCGATGCTGAATCGGTTGCCTATGTTGCCACCTATTCAAGAGAGAGTGAGAGAGAGAGAGATAGAGAGAAAGCAAGAGAGAAATACATATATTTTTTTGTATATTGTGATATTGTCAGGCATTTTAAATTTTTTTGATTAATTCTTTGAAATACCCAGTAATCTATGCGGAAATGCTTTGCGAAAAAAGAAAAAATCCTTCTTTCCCTCTTCTTCAAAATAGCACCCTGAAAGCAGAGAAGAGAATGCCTGATTTTACGGAAATTATCCTTAATGAATAACATATACTCTGTAAAATACTGCGGTGCAGAGGTTTGAATGGAAGTGAAGGAAAAATTTTTCTAACTATTCTGCGGTAGTAAATGAATTAAGTAAATAATGTCTCATGGAATGCATATGGAAAGTGGGTTTTTAACATATTGCACAAGGCAGCGCAGAACACCTTTTTCTTTTTTTATCAAGAAATTTCTTAAAACAAATGTCATAACCCAGTAATGAATTATGTAGGTTAAAGAAAAGGTGTCTAGGTGCCCTAGATATTCTTAAATCGTTCATTGAAGGCAAAGTGGAATGCCTTTTTCATTAAGTAACTGTCTTCAATATGCAGCAGAAGTAATAAGTTTTGTGAGTGGTGTATTAGAAGAAGCTGATTTCTTTTTAATATTTTTTGAAAACAAAGTTGAAAGTCTCCAATGAATGACGTAACCAATTTGTAATAAAAACTTATATAAGGCGAAGAGGAAATAGCCGATTTAACCCAGTCGGGAGGAGGCAAAGCGGAATGTACTTTTGTTTTTATCAATAAACTACTTCCTATGAATAGCATATGCCGATAGGTGTAGAAGAATTGTCTATTATATTTTTTAAATTAAAATAATTTTTAAATACATGGAATGATAATCAGAAAGTAAGAACCTTGTCTTTATAACTCATTCTTCAATGAATGATTTATCGAAAAGCAATAACTTAACTGGGGTAAAGTGGAAACGGTTAAGACATTTTCAATTCATTACATAGAAAGGCGGAATGTAATGCCTTTTCCGCCAAAAAAATATCTCTAGATTACTTAAACAAGTTGCAGTAATGATTTTTTTGAGGTAAGGTGATAGAATTTAAACTTTGTTTTAACTCATTCCTTGGAAGGCGGGTCGTAATGTCTTCTTCACCAAAAAATTACCTCAAGTAAATCATATAAGCACGATTTAGCAACTACTTCTTTGAGATAAATTATTAGTGGTCGAAATATTTTTTTAACTAATTCCATGAAGAGCTGAATGGAATGCCTTTTTCCGCAAGGAATTATCTTCAATAAAGTAATGACTTAAAGATGTTAAAGCGGGAGCTCGTGATATCCTGTGAACTCATTTCTTGTATGAATCTTCAGTTAGAAATTATTTCCAATGAAGGACCAAGCTAAAAAGAATGGCCTAAGGACGTAAGCAGTTGAAATGTCTGGATGGCAGAGCAGTATGCCTGCTTTACCAAGAAACTTATATCAATTAATGACACATTTAAATGTAATGACTTGTAGAAGGTGAAGTGCTTATAAATTATAAATCAAATGCTCTGTTTGTATTAGAAGAGAGACACATCTGCGTTTGCTAAGTTGCATTTCCCTTGGGAAGGATTATGCACAAAAAGTTACAAAATGTTGAGACATTCCCAACTGCCTGTCAGGTATTGAAGCAATTGTATACACTTTTGAATTCAGTCAAGGTATTTTCTCATCTTTTGTCACTAGAAAAGCGTGGAAATTTTATTTTGATGGGTATTTCATTCTACAATGTAGTGTGACAACTACTCACCAATAATATTGTAAAAGATCTCCCCATTCGCGCCCTCATCGAGATCGGTTGCCACCACCGTATGGATGACGGCGAATTCGTTGTTTTCCGGCACGGAGAGTGCATAGCAAGAGCCTGGACGAAATTCAGGTGCATGATCATTAACGTCGCTGATTGTGATGATTATTGTCGCAATATCAAATTGTCCACTTGATGCCACCGCTGATGTTGGCAATGGTGGTTGTGTTGAGCCATTACCGCTTGTTGTCGTTGCGATCGTTGTGGTCGCTGCACTTGCCGCCGTAGAAGTGGCAGCAGCAGCAGCAGCAGCAGTATTTGTAGCGGCGACGGTGGCGGCGGCAAGATTATTGGTGTCATATACGTAGATTGGTATCGTGTAGCGCGCTTTTGTTTCACGATCAAATTGTCCGCGTGTGGTGACAATTCCGCGCTGCCGATCAACGTAAAAACGATTATCGGCGACACCTGCTGGTATCTCGTAGCTGAGATTGCCTATAAAGAAAAGAGGAAGAAGCAATGAGTGAGCGAATGATTTTACTGGCGTAAGTAGATACAAACTACACTTATATAATGCTATATGCTCGTATAGATGTATATATGTATGTGTTTGCGTAAATATATTTCCAAGTAAATTACATAAACCGTTAATTGTGGTTTGCATATGCGAATGAGCGTACTCAGTAAGCAAGCAAAGGTAAGTGTGCTGCGCTGGTGGCAGCGTTCATTTGATTGGACTGTTGTCAAGGTTGATGAGTTCGTCGTCAGTAGCATTGAGACTGACAATCACAAGGTGATCGCTGATCTTTGACAGTTTTGTCATGTCAATCAAAATCACTGATTGCGGAAGCACGAACAAGTGGAATATCTATCTTTATATGTATGTATGTATCTGCCTTGAGAAAATCTTTAAATTAATGCTTTCACATGGCCCGGTCAGTGCGCTGAGATTAAGTGAAGATTACAAAAATCACTAAAATAATTGAAAATTTAACAGCCTTTGTTGGTGGCACAATTTAGTACAAGGTGCGACAGTCTCTATAGATACTCGTATAATAATGCTGCATATACAAAAATACTTATTATCGGTGAAGAATAGTTTGGTTATCTTAAAAAAAAGCCTTGAAACGCGACGTGGCATGCATTCATACAGTCTGTAGAAAGGGACATCCCTTAAGTTCCCGAGAGTTGAATTCATTACAGCTGTTTTTTTCCATTTTATTTATCATCACGTCATTTATGGCGTAAGTTATATGTGTAGAGTGCAATCTTAATCAAAAATCCTTTGTCGGACTTTGATTTCGACCATTTTTGTTACTACCACCTTCGCCTGAGGTTCAAAAACTCTGTTTCTTACGCCAAAACCGCCAGAGGTTGTAAAAACAGTTGGATGAAAAGAGTGCCAAAGTTCTTAAAACACGATAGTTCTAAATTTGCTTGTCCTAAATAATGATACATTCTAAGAAGTCCGTTATTTTCAATCCGAGTAGTGTTTTTTCTACATTTACATCTCTTTTTTGACTTACGGGTTCTGTCCAGAAGTGAGCAATATTGAAATATCAAAGCAGAGTTCAATGAATTTTTTTCTCTGAAAGTGGTTCAGTTTTGGAAAATACAAACATCTAACAGTGGCTTTCTTAGCGTAAGTACTCTTGTACTGTAAAAAAAAGGAACTATAAATATCGGTTAAGTACTTTTTTGAGTTAAGGGGCACACCTAGTTTAATGGCCTAAAAAAAGGTGTTTTTTGCGAATTTTTATTAAAAAAAAAAACTTTATCAATTATTTCAAAATTTAGAGAATATATTTATACATGTTTTAAGAATATACAGTGAAATTTTCGAAGAAAAAAATTAAAAATTTTTGAAGTTATAGTCGATCTCCAACGGCGGGAAAAAAGGTCCTTCACTGTTGCAGTGATTCCGGCCTTCTCCGTGGATGAAATCTAAAAAAAATTCTCTACTAGATACAATGACCTACGATAAAAAAAATTAAGAATTAACAATATGGCGGCGTTTAAAAAAAATAGTTGAATTTTATCCAAAATTTTGGTCGTTTTTGGCCTGCCAAAATTCAATTTTTTGATCAGATCAAAAATCGATAGTGATTGGATCATTTGCTTATGAGCAATCACTGCAACAAATTCGGGAAATGCTGTTTCGAGAAAAACGCGTTTAAAGATATAATGATCGTTTTCACTCGTAGCTAATGAGACTCTCTAGCTGCCGAGCGGCTGCGCTTTAAATTGCCATAACCTATTTGAGATAGCGATTTTTCAAATTTCACACTAGGTGTGCCCCTTAAGCTGGTGTAAACACTCAAAATATGAGCAGTGAGCCGCTTTTTTTTTTTTAACAAATCTGTTTAAAAATAAATAAAAAATATTTTATTGTAATATTGTATATGCAACCCTTTCCGTAAAAACACAATCAAAATTCGTTGATGCGTTTTTGAGTTTAATGCTCGCAGACAGACAGACAATCAGACGGGGATACGAGCTTTGCTTATAATATTTAAGGATGATAAGACACGAAAGTGGCTACAAATGGAATGGCAGAAAAATAATTTTATTTAACTGTATATATTAGTATATAAGAAACAATGTAAGGTCTGTAATAAATTGAGAACGACTGCATCAATTAGGCTTCAAATCTAAGATTGCAATTTTTACCTGAAGTGAAGTAAGTGTACAAAAGATCGATTTATACTGAAACATTTTGTACTTGTTTCGATTAATTTGAAATTTGGTGCTCAGATAGCATTTCGCAAAAATTAAAATTAGGCATTTGTTTTTTCCGAAACGTAGACTTCGAACTGACCTATTCGAAAAAAAAGTATTTGTGGTTGGATTTGATTGAAAATGTCATTCTTCGGAAATGTGGACCTGAAATCGATCTAATCGAACAAATCGTAATTACAACATTTGATTTCTGGAACCAGTATCGAGACTAGGTTCAATATAAAGGAGGTAGATTTTTCCTTAAACTTTAGAGAAGTAGATTAGCTGGGTGAAAGTATCGATTGACGACTATACATATATGATCGCTGCGTTCGCGCTTGGGTATTCCAAGAATTTATTGATATAAAAAATTTATCATACTACCGGAGCATATTTCAACACCTTAAATTGGGTCTATTTGCATTATTTATGGAAAAAAGAAGCCCAAAATAGAAAGAAGAAGAGACTAATTGGTTGTGAGTATGTGTAGGGTGAGCTGTGAATACCCGATTTGAGCTTTCTGAATTATGGATTGATATAAAATTTTTCCCTAATATCCCTTAAACTGCTAGCGTACAATCGCATTATTCATAAAGGGTGATTTTTTAAGAGCTATACGAAAGTTAAAAAAAAAACACCCACAAAATTCAGAAAAAAACATGAATTATTTATTTGAATCGATTGTACGGTGCATATAATTTAATGTTTGAAGATTATTTCATGCAAATGTTGGCCGTGATTGCGCGAATGGTCCATCCACATAGTCCAATTTCGGCATATTCTCTCCAATATTTCGGTCGGTATCTCACAAATAAATACTTTAATGTTGTCCTCCAATGCGTCAATTGAAGCTTTCATAGCCCAAGAAAAAATAGTCTTAAAGGCGTTAAATACCACGATCTAGGCGGCGAATTGACTGGTCTCGAACGTGTAATAAAATGTTCACCGAACTCTCCTCTCAACAAGCCCATTGTTTGCTATCATTACAGTTACTTTACGATTCGCATCATCTTTAGAGAAGTAGTTTCCAATCATGTCACCGGGATGGGATGGATAAACCGCATGAAACTGTGACTTTTCCTGTATACATTGGTGGTTCTTTCAATGCTTCTGGCTGATCTTCACTCCAAAATCGGCAATTCTGCTTACTTAGGTACCCATTAAATCAAAAATGAGCTTCGAAGCTCACGTGTAAGAAGCGCGTGATGAACTTTCTTAATAGAGCACGCATTTTGATAATAAAATTCAATAATTTGCAAGCGTTGTTCGTTTGTTAGACGATTCATGGGTAAATTTTATACCAAACTAAAGACGTCAGCTGTTTAAACCAGTGCAAAAAAGATAATAGGCAAAAAATCACCCTTTCTTAAATTTGGTTGAAATACAATATCTCAAAAGCTGAGGGAATAGTTTCCGCATAAGCAGAGGCTTAATGGACAGACTGCCACGGCTAATTTAACTCGACTCGTCATTCTAACCCGATCGTTATGAAATGCTAGCTAGCTTTTAACAAAATTCTATTTGTTTTAAATTCCTCAAAATAAAAGAATTATATTTTTCAATTCACCATACCAGTCTACAGTCACTCTTCCTAATTTTTTTCAAAGCCGAGTCTCACGCATTGCAAAAAATAAATATAAATAATAAACCGCGGGACTGAGCATGGTAAATTTTATTGATAAATTGTCAGCTGATATTACTGGCGACAGTTTTCGGAACTTGTTGTTGTATCAAATACGAGTACTACCCGCCATGCTCCCATATTGCCGATCAAGTCACATCGGCTGCCTTGCCTATCAACGCGTATTGTTCATATAAGCGACGGCGGCAGCAGCAGCAGCAGCAGCAGCAAATCGATAAATCGTTTAGTTTTAATTAATACTAAAATAAATGAAAACATGTCCTTGGAAGTAAAACATGTAATTAAAAACAAGCTACAACAACAATGACAACAAACAACTCCGAAGTAAATTTAAAACAACGAAGCTACACTCCAATCACCAATCACAATGCGATGTACTCAATTGAGGGTAAGAACAAAGCAAATACATACATACATAAGTGTGTAACAGTTTGTATTGCGTTGTGAGTGCCACACAACGGAGGGACAGAACAACATAAAATGAATGCCATAAACTGAATGCAAATAAAAAATCAAAGGAAACCGTCCTCTACTTAATTTAACAGTGGCGGCCATAAATTTAGCAACATAGTCACCGGCGATGGCAGATGCAAAACTCAATGTAGCAGCACCAACAACAGCAGCAATGAAATCAAAAAAAAAAAAAAAAAAAAAAAAAAAAAAAAAAAAAAAAGCAAAAATCACAACAAATCCATTACCACCAAGCAGTGGGAAATATTTAGTAGGCAACAGTGGCGGTGGCGATGGCGGTGGCGATGGCGGTGGCAGAGTAACGGAGCTGCGTAAATGGAATTGAATGCTGAGCAGAAATGCGAACGGTCACCAAATAGTGTGTTTGTCGCGGAAAGGGTTGGTTAGGAGGCAGAGCTATGGAATTGGAAAATGATAATGGGAATGCCACCAAACGAGTTCAGCGTTAAGTGTTGCGCTTAGACGCAGATTGAAAAAACCCACACTAAATGTGTGGAGAAAATACTAGAAGAGAGGGAAATTTAACTAGTGGTTATCACTGCGTACTGCCATTCGCAAGGCTCGGGTTCAAGTCCTGGTATGGTACTAACATCCAAAAAGTTATAGAAAATTAATTTAAATAAAAAAATAAGCTAAACTTTCTAATTGCGGTCGCCCATCGGCAGGGAATGCCAAAGCTTCTCATAAAACAAGAACCATCAGCCGTTCGAAGGTGGCTTAGTATAAACTGTCCATTTGTTGAAAAAACATCAAGACGCAAAACCGCAAACTGTAGGATTAGGTCGGCCGAATATATATAGGGATGGGTAGGGACGGATAGTTGGTCGAAGAGTGGGTAGGCGGCAGCATGCCGTCAGTTGTAAATTTCTGGACGTATACTCGTATAAATATGTATACACATATACAAGATTTTTCTTTTAATAAAGAGAGGACTTAAAATAAGAAATCTCAAGGAAACGCGTTTTGTTTTATTGCATTGAATTTTAATTAATTTAATTTAATTTAATTTTTATTTTTATTTTATTTAGTTTTATTTTTCTCCACATTATTTTATTTTATTTCATTGGTATTTATTTATTTGATTTAATCTTGTTTTACTTTACTTTATTGTATTTTATTTAATTTAATTTTATTTAATTTTGTTTTATTTTATCTTATTTTATTTTACTTTATTTTCTTTATTTTTTTAATTTATTTTATTTTACTTTACCTTGTTTTGTTTTATATTATTTTTTTTTCATTTGTTTTATTTTATCAACTTCTGTTTTTTAAATTAATTTAATTTAATTTAGTTATAGTTTACTTTAATTTTGCTTTTATTTTATTTCTTTTTCTTTTGTTTACTTTACTTTATTTCATTTATTTTATTTTATTTTAGTTTATCTTACTTTATTTTATCTTAATTTATTTTATTTTACTTCATTTTATTATATTTTACTTTATCTTTTTTATTTTCTTTTACATTCCTTTCTTATCTTTTATTTTCTTTCCTTTTATTTTATTTTACTTTGATTTATTTTATTTGAAATTATTTAATACCTTTTTTTAATTTAAATTAATTTAATTTTAGTTTATTTCAATTTTAATTTAATTTTTTTTTTCTTCAGTGTTTATTTTTTTTTGTAATTTAACTTTATTTTATCTTGTCTTATTTTTTTATTTTTTTCTGTCTTATTTTATTTCACTTAAATTTATTTCATTATATTATAATTTGTTTTATTTAATTTAATTTAATTTAATTTAATTTAATATAATTTAATTTTATTTTATTCTATTTTATATTCTTTTATATTCTTTTATTTTCTTTTCTTTGCTTTTGTTTTATTTTATTTTGTTTTGTGTTGTTATTTTTTTTTGTTTTATTTTATTTGAAAATATTTAATTTCTTTTTTTAATTTAATTTATTTGTTTTCTTCAGCTTATATTATTTTATTTTATTTATATAATTCTGTTTTTTTTTTTTTATTTTAGTTTCTTTTATTTAACGGTTTTGTGTATTATGAATCATATACCTTCCCATTTATCTACTTATATGAGACTTTCATTATGAATTCTGCCTTAATAATATTATTAAATTTTTTCTCTTAATTTTCTTTATGTTAGATTTATTGCACCACATTCACACTTGGCTGTCAATTTTTTGTCACAAAAGTCACGTTCAACCATCATTTTGTCATACAGACGGTCACTGCGCCTGACACTGGCCTGGCAATGACTTTTAAGAGAAGTCTTAGTGAGTAGCGCGCTGGTATTTTACGCTTATTTGTGTCGGCATAACCGCCTCTGATTGCCATGCGGTACCCTGCACTCTCTGCTTATGCAAATAATGTAGAGTCACATACTCGTGTGTGTGTACAATATTATATGTATGTATGCACTGACATGGCAGGAAGGCTTGGTGCAAAACAATGGCACAATATTTTATCAATTGTCGAAAGTTGTGCAATTTATCGCGAAATATGCCACAACAGGTTGTCAACTATAGTAACATATCATTGTTGTAGTTGTTGTTGTTGTTTTTGATTCTGCTACTGTTAACACTGACACTGTCAAAGCCATATGTAGTTGCACCATTTAAATGCATTTCGAATGCCTTTTTTGGTTATAAATAAAAAAATATTTTTTAAATTTAATAAAGTAAATTAAATTTATGGATTATTTTATTTACGCAAATGTAGAATGAGTGATGTGGATCCAAGTAAGAATCACAAGAAAAACTATTTCACTGATCATAATTGTCGAGCTCAAATATTACGTTATTTTAGTAAAAGGGGATTATTTATTAATATTAAAATCAAGTAGCAGATTTTTCTTTGGTATTCTGTTTGTGAAAACGCAATGAAGAAATTGCGAAAGACTGGCACTTGTTGTTGTCCAGTTAATAAGTCAGCTGGACAGTCTTTCATAAATTTCATTCTCCTTCGTCCTTCAGCGACAGGGTAACAAGAACAATTTCCGCATATATATACTCGTATTTTTGGCTGAGCTCCTGTTCTAATTTGTAGTTTATCGTCTAAATGTTTTTCCAACACATGGAGGTCCCTACAGTTTATTCAAACGATAGATCGATTTTAATGAGAAGCTTTGATTTCTTATTAGAAATGCACTCGGAGGGTTTGACGTTGAAAATAACAACATCTTCTGGACAGGAACAATGGAGATTGTTAGAGTTATACGTTTCTACCCAGTTCGATTGGCTTTCAGACATTGACTCTCGGCATGGGAAAATAGATTAGCAGCCTGGTACAAGTACGTCGGTTGGCAGCATTGAAATACAGCCGAACGGCTTAAAGCGTGAGGAGAGAATGGCTGCCGGATTACTGTGGTGAGTTCCAGACCCAGATTTATACCATAAGGGGCGCTGGAGAAAATATTTAAAACGAATGCTTAGAAGAGAAATTGAGCCAGGGAACATGTAAAACCCTAAGCTTGATCTCTGAAAGCTCATTAATCGTGTCGAACTGCTGCAGACCTTTTCACGAGACGGTCACGGGGTTATGGAAAATTCTGTTGGGAAACACATTTTTTCTACATTAAGCAAACAATGGTTGCCGAATTGGAACCAAAGCTCCACCTAACACAATTCCAAGGTCTTAACGAAACTTGGTCCTAAGAGGTCCACAGAAAAAAATCGTTTCCGTCTAATAGGAAACTTGAAGAACCACTTTGGCGGGAGCTGTAAAATCTTCGATGGAGAGAAAATGCTCTCATTTTTGCTATGTGTTAGCACTGCCTTAAGCAGAAACATTCTACGGAATCTAGAAATCACCTTAATAGATGACGATCTGTTGAGATTCATTTGAATAAGAAACCAGAAAGATCTGTCTAGAAGAATTAGTTAGTAATTTAATCACCATAAAATCTACCGCGCAGTTAAAGAATCTTAACATTCTATGACAATCAACCATTCCCCTCTTGAATTCATTAAGAAACCAAAAAGCGTTGAATTTCTTAAACTTACCATTTTCGCCGCCATTGAAGGACTTCGCCGCTACTTGCAATACAAAAGTGCCTGAGACCGCACTTTCCGAAATGTTCGCATAGTACACCGACTGATGGAAGCGTGGTGGATTACTATTGGTGCCGTGAACCAGAATTTGTAACTTCAACTGCGACTGTCGGGCTGTCGGCGTGCCGTGATCACTTGCACTGACCACCAAGTTGTATCGATTTCTTTGCTGATTACTCATATCAGTAGCCAACTCACCACTGCCACTCGTTGCCATCGGCTGCAGTTGCTTAGCCAGCTCAATGTAGCCGGACTGAGCGTTGATACGAAAATGACCAGCATCATTACCACTGACAATGGCATAGGTGATCTCACCATTTGCGCCCGCATCTCTATCGATGGCAACAATATGTGCAACCGTTTCGCCAATGCGTAGTGCATCACTCACCCGTACGCTGGCAACGGGTGGCGTATGAAAACGTTGATCCGTTTGTGTACTGCTAGCGGCAGGCGATACAAATTGTGGTGCATTATCATTGACATCGGTCACCTTCAAAACAGCAGTGACTTTGGTGCGTAGACGCGTGCTTACATTCGATGATTGGTCCATGGCCTCCACGATGAGTGTGTATTGCGGTGTCGTCTCATAGTCGAGTGGAGTGAGTAATGTCAAAGCGCCAGTTAATGCATCGACATTGAAAATTGGCTCCTTATCTTTGCGCTCGGCTGATGTTTCACGCTCAGCTGAGTTGTCACCACTCGATGTGGTAGCGCCACTCATCATCATTGGCGTATAACTGAGTAGCTTATACTGCAAATAGCTATTGCTACCCGCGTCGGCATCTGTGGCGGTAAAATTGTAAATAATGGCGCCTACATCGGTGGCTTCGCTAATTTTCAACTCAATCGGATCGTTCAGCCATCTCGGTGGATTATCATTGACGTCATCGATCTCCACCTTTACCGTTATGGCGCTGCTTTGCGGATTATTACTGGTGCTGGTGTCTAGCGCGCGTATTTCTAGGCGGAACTCGGCTTGCGTCTCGCGATCCAGTTGACGTGCTACCACTAGTGAGCCCGTATGTCGGTCAATATCGAAGGCGCCTTCAATCACGTCCTTCACCAATGAGGTGAGCGTGTAGGTAACAAAGAGATCGCTGTTGTTGTCAATCATATTTTGTTGATCGATGCGTTCATTGGGACTCACAGAGCCCACCACAAAGCCGACTGGTGCATCTTCGGGCACCTGTAGGGGAAGAGCAAAAAAAAAAAGGAAAAATTATATTAATAATAATATATTAATAATAATAAAAATTAAATTATTTTTCAAACATTTTAAATAAAAATAACAATAATAACAATAATTATTCAAAAAAAGACATCCGAAACAACCAACTCGAAAATTCATTTCAAATACGATTATATTTCAGTTACCACAGAAGTTCAGCATTCGTGTTTAAAAATTGTGATATAAAAGCCATTTTTCATACTTCCAGATAAATCCAAGAGATCAACATCCAACCGCTCACTTTTTACCTTTTTTGGATTTCCAAAAAGCCCAAATTAAAAAAAAACTTATTAAAAATAAAAGGAAAGAGAGTATAAAATTTAAATTTTGTAAGCGAAAAAAAATAACAATAAAAAATTAAAGGAAATATAAAATCAGCAACATCTGATTTCTTACAGTAGAAACCCCATGGAAATACAGTGGGCAAAATTGGTGGAGAATTTCAAATAAAATATGTTGCTATAAATCTGTCGTTTCGAACTAAAAGTACAGCCAACAATTACAGCTTTTTAAAGCATTTCATTGTACGTACCGATTATAAGGTGTTTAAATAAATATAACAATTTCTTTGGGCTATCCATTCAGGTTATGAAAATGGATCGCATAGCAATTGCACAGCGCTTTGAAATTCTTAAAACCTAGAACGGGCCTTTTTTAGCCGTTTTGGACAGACCCCTTGAAATCGTGTCAAGCTGTACTTTCTGACATTTCATCGTGGAGAGACTTACGCCTGAACAACGTTTATTTCAGCTTTATTTCCAAAATTCACGTTCTGTAAAGAATGTGTTTTCACGCTTCGTCCTACTTATGATCTACATAATCGGCTTGCTGAGCGTACTTTTCGCAACACCATCACTCATCTTGAGACTCAGCATTCATTATTGAATAATATAAAACCGTCCAAGACGTAGTGAAGAAAATGTAAAGGCCGCTGAAAGACGATTCGGCGCCATTCGTGTAAAAAATACAGCTTGTGCAAGAACTGAGGACGATTGACCTTACCAAACGATATGTCTTTGATATGTTCCAAGAAGATTCGACGTTTTCCAGACAAATTTTGATCAGCGATGCGGCCCATTTCTGGTTCAATGGGTATGTAGACAAGCAAAATTTCTGGATCTAGAATAAAAAACAACATGAAAAGATTTGAGAGCTGCCATTTCACTCCGAAAAAACAACGGTTCGGTGTGGTTTGTGGGCTGGTGGAATCATTGGCCTATATTTCTTCAAAAACAGTATGGGTGAGAACATAACCGTCAATTACCAATGGTGTCACTTCCCATAAAGCGTGTCAGTCTATGCATTTATTGAGGGAACACTGCGGGAGGCAGATAATTTCACTTTTTTGGCCAGTCGATTGGCCACCAAGATCGTGTGATATTACATCGTTAGACTTTTTCCTGTGGGGATATGGAAAGTCTAAGGTCTATGCGGATAATCGCTTTAATTCAGGCCCTGGAGCAAAACATCTCTTCTGTCATTCGCCAGTTCCCAGTCAAAATGCTCGAACGAGTCATTGAAAATTCGTCTCATCAGATGGATCATTTGAGACTTCAATTAATAAAGGCGAAAGAACGTTATTTAGAATGATAATAAACATTCCCAATCAAATTTGAAATTTCTGTAGGAACCTCGAAACGGACTGGAGCATTATGGTCGTATGATAACCGGCGTCTTTGACCAGCAATTGAACAATGATGATGTTATCCCAGAAAACCCGAGCGAACATATGCTGTGCCATGCACTACACGAGTATGCCAATTTCATCCTCTCCAGGGTATTTTGCTTTCCCCTTCAGTGTTAGTATCACCTGCTGAGCATCAAGGATTTCCATGAAGGGATCTTGTCGGTAAGTGTATCTTCACGCAGAAAGTATAGTTCAGCAATCGTTCTCTACTTTAACTAATAAATCGATTTTAATTTCCTTTTCCAAAATTTCATTCACGACTTTCCTGCCTTGAAACACTGTACCCCTGTATGGTATACATATATATATATATTTCGTCCCACAGCAGCAATATATGGAGATATTGCAAATTCCACCATGCTTTGTAGGGCTAACTCATCAGCCCGGTTGGCGAAATGGACAATCCAAATCCACTGAGCCAAGAAAAAAAAGATGTCACAGGAGAAATATTATAAATACAATACAACAACAAAAAATTCAGTAAAAATATTTTAATATGCAAAACCACAAAAGTTTTTTTAGTAAGGCAAATACAAAAACAAAAACAACAAAGATAACGGCAAATGTGAGTATATAAAAGTCGGAGGGAGAAAAGACAGCAACTGGTCAACGTACGAGCAACTCAACTTTGTACAGTTACCACTGCGGCGAATGGGATGAGCCTACACTATATGCACATGCAATAAGTGACACACATATACATATGTATAACTACATATACACATATATACATATATAGTTATATGCAAATTTCTTTTCGCTTTCCTTTTGCATTTCTCTACAGCTCAAAAATGGAGCCACAAAAAATGACAGCGATCAGATTTATGCATCGAAACCGCAGCCGTTTGCGGTTGGGAAGATATTCATATAACTTTATTTCTTAGTCGTGCCTTATCCGCTTGGTAAACGGCATTTTTGCTGTTGATTTGGCTTTTTACTGCGTTTCTGTTTCTTTTTTTGTTGTTGGCTTTGTAGCTGCAAATTTGTTGACATTGTATACCGGCTGCCGTTGTTAAGTCATAATTTCTGTGGCCGCATTAAAGTTTTATGCATTCACTGTTTTTCATTTTTCCCATCATTCCTTTACTGTTTTTATTTTTCGCATGTTGGCAAGCTCTTGGCAGCATTTTGAAGTTTTCAGCCTTCGGTAACGAACATTTTTCCCTACCTCTGACTTAATTTCAATACTAATTTTATTAATATTCTTAATTTTCTTATTTAAAAAATCAATAAGTTAGTTTATTATTATATATTTTTGTTATTTGAATCTTATTAAATTTTTTGTAATTTGTTTTTTCTTCATTTAATTTTCGTTATTTTATTTGGTTTTATTTATTTAAAATGTTTCACTACGTTTTTTTTATTTCATTTCATTTGAATTTAGTTTACTCTATGTAATGTAGTTTTTTTTATTTATGTTATCGTATTTTAATTGATAACAATTTTTTTTATAATTTTTATTTTATTTTTTGTATTTTTTTTTCTCTTTTATTTTTTTTTTTTTCTTTGAATTAATCTTGTATATTTTAAAAGTTTTAATATATTTTTTGTTTTCTTTCATATTATTTAATTTTAATTTCTATTTAATGTTGCTTAATTTTTATCAAAATAACTTCATCATATTTTATTTATTTTTATTTATTCATATGTTTAAAAGAGAAACAATTATTAATAATTATTCCACTTACAAACTAATGCAGGGGTTGCCAGGGCCTTCGGCTCATCATATTTTAGTTTGGTTTAAGTTATTTAAATTTTCTTTTTCTATTTTTGATTTTATTTCATTTTAATATATTTTATGGTGTTTTTTTCATTTTGTTGTATTTTTATTCTATTTTATATTTTTGTTTCCTTTTTTGATTTATTTTTTTTTTTGCTTTATTTTTATTTGATTTAATTTTAATTTATGTTATTTTATTTTCTACTATTTTATTTAATATTTATTTTTCTATGTGCTTTTATTTTAAATTATTTGATTTGATTCATATTATATATTTTAAATTATTTTATTTTACATTATTTAATATTCATATTTTACTTTGTTTTAATTTATTTTATTTGATTCTTATTCTATTAATTTCATTTATTATATATTATTTGACTTTATTTTTATTTATTTTGTTTCGTTTTGTTTAATTTATTTTTATATATATTTTATTTAATTTAATTTTATTTTAATTTATATTATTTCAGTTAAAATATTTTTATTTATTAAATTATTAATTTTTTGGCAATATTTCATTTTATTATATTATATTTACTTTATTTTTTTTTATTTTTCTTTACTTTATTTATTGTTCTTAATATATATATTACTAATTATAGTTTATCTATTCATATACTCGTAATTTGCATTTCGGTTTAACTTTATATTGCTCTTTTTTAATTGCATTTAATTTTGTTTATTTTTAATTAATTTTATTATTTAAATCTAAACAAGATTTTTTATGTTTTTTGAATAAAAGTTTTTTTTTGTACTCGTTTTGCTTGTTATGTGTATATATTGTTTTCCAAGAAATATCCGCAGCCAACTTCAAGCATTGTGGATAAGGTGTGATGCCAAAGCAAATCCAAAAATCGTGTAAGAACAACGACACGTGAAGGCGTCAAAGTTTTCTTTATTCTTTTGCGATCCTTTACAAATGTTAAGTGCGAACAAAGGGAGCCGCCAGCCTGCATAGCGTCAAAGACAAAGCCGGCCGGGGAAGAGAGCTGTGCGCAGATGGACATTCGAAATGCAACACTGAAACGCCGAAATGCGTCAATTTTAATTGCGCGAATGTTGAATTAAAGTTAAGACGAAGGCAGGCGAATGCATAAGCAGAGCAAAATAAAACTTAGCATAGTATAGCATGCCATTGTTGTTGTTTTTAGCGCAAATGATGGGTCGTATGGGGTAAGCGGGCGCGAAAGGTGGAAAGTGAAAAAAGTGCCTTTTCAAACCCAATTAAATGCATGTCAAAGCGTATGTTTTGGGGTGTCGGAAATGCACCACTACACATGTAGTACGTACATAAAAAATCGCTGAAACACACATACATACATCCTTACAAAATGTACGTGCGAGTGAGTCTTCTTTGAGTGCGTTTACTTGCACGTTGCAATGCTGTAAAATCATCTCACATCTTCCCTCATGCCATCATACATATGTACATTTGTGAGTAGATGTATTGGCTTAAGGCTTAACCGAACGCTCGAAGGTATGCAAAACACGCGCGAATCGAACGTGATGAAAATGTTTAGTAGCAAAGCGGTTTTCGATGTCATCTGC